TGCAGTCCCACAGAGCTCTTCTAGATGGGCCATTGGCAACATGCAGTAACCAAGCCACTTCCCCACAAGAGCACACATGCTACGTGGACATACTTAGCAAATCCTGCCCTATGTGTACTCTAGGGAAAGCGACTCGAAGCCACTCTTTCCTGTGTGAAGCATGCATGATTCCTTGTGAGACGAGAACAAATAGGATTCTTTAAATTGCCCTGGAATCTTTAGACCTACTTTCATCCTACTATTTCCATCAAATTTTCAAAATATTTAGCAGATAATATAACTTACCATACATAGGATAAAATTTACTTAGAAATTTTAAAAAATAAAATAGTACAAAGCCTTTATAAAGTCTGTATAGTTTGTAATTTCTTCTTTCAAGAAGTAAGTAGATGTAACACAAACACAAAATCACATTTAAAATTAAATATTCATAATGAGAAAAACCACAATCTTCAAAATGCTGATAAGTGCTCAAAATTCACATGTTTTTAATTCAAAAACTCTCTGACATACCCTTGCAATTTTTTTGTGTTTTTGCAAAATTTTTTGAACTCCCTGGCTGTATATTTAGACTGCCTCTTTACATGACATGCATTTATATTATACTCTTCCAAAATGTTGCATCTGATCTAAGAAGATTAATTCTAACAAGTCAGGAAGAGTGGGAGTCAAGGAAAGCTGCCATAATCCTTTCTCGCAGTGTTTTTTTGTCAGACCACACTCAGTTGTTCTCTGTTCCAGACCTGGAACTTGAACACTGGCTAACTGCTCTTCCTTCATGCAGCGGCTGGCTTGGAATGTCAAGAGATGGTAATAAAATGGCAGTGGCTGCCCTGGTGCTTCTGCTCTGCAGAGTGAAGAGTGGGCGATGGGGTCTGTTAACATTTCCATTATGCCAAAACTGGGAGGAGTGGCCTTCTGGCCAAACTCCACCATGGACAGGCTGTCCACAAGCTTTCCTGGAGTTAGGAGAGTCCACAAGCTTTCTTGGAGTTTGCTGATCTGTAAAATGGGAAAATTCAACTGTGTTAAGCAGAATTCACACTAAGCAGTTAGCTTTATAAAATTTGCTATCAAAGTCCAGGATCAAACACTGAATTGTAGCCGTGAGTAATAATGTGTATGTATCAATGCAGTTAGCTGTGTCTCTGAATCTCTGTCTTTAAATAATTTAAATATTTAAATTCAACTAACGATTGATAACATAAAATGGGTTATCAAAATCTACATATAAATCTCTTTTTTCCATAATAGCTACATGTTCAATCATAATTATATCATATAAAATTCCTAGATAACAGTAATAGAGAAAGGAAGGAGAAGTCACACATCCTCTAGGAATCTCTAGTACCCTGAAGTACATTTCCACCAAAGCATGTGTTCAGGTTCTTAAGAAAGCATCATTGTGACATCAAATGCAATCTGAGGGCAAAGGGATAAAAAATTGCCTATAACTGAGAATCACATTAGGATTCCGGAGTGTCCACATCCATCATCACTGAGCTTTTATTATATGCTCATTTATATACTTTGCTGAGAAAACTATCTAAAGCCACTTCTTCATTCTTTGAAAATATGATAGCTATTAACAGGGGAGAAATCAAGGGAACAGAAGAAATAAAAAAAGGATTGCCAAAAGAAAATAACTTTTCTTAGCTGAAAATTTTTTTAAAAAAATATTTTTATTCCTCGAGGAGGGTTAAACCACAGGAAATGAGAAAGCAGATAATAATTAAATCTAATTTTTGTTTTACTGTCATCTGGAGGCAGTTCAACTCTAAAGATGACAGCATATTTTTATGCTGATCTCAGTGAGATTTTGCTTAGAATAATTGTAGAAAGATTTGAAAAAACTAACCTTTCTATTTTGTATGCAAAATTTGATGTGCTGTTTATGTGTGTCATAATGATAAGCCCAGAATAAATTATAGTACAACATAGGGAGCAGACTAATAAATTCAAAGCTACTCAAGGACTTGCTGTGATGATGGAAATGGTTCAAAACCCTCATTATGCAGTGGAACAGCTAGCCAGGTGGCTACTGAGCAACAGAACTGTGACTAGGTCAAACCAGAAGCTGAATTTTTAAAATTTCATTTAAAGTGAGTCCTCATGAGGGCTGGAGCTTGTACTGAGCAGGAATAGTTTGGGTGCAACACTTTCATTGTGGAAATAAAGAAATTAAAACACAGAGATAACTTGCTCTCAAATAAAGCCACAATGGCAGAAGCAACAGCAAACAGCCATCTTACAAGGAGTTTGATGTCCTTGCTGCCTTTCAAAATAGCATTAGTTGTTAGAGTTTGCTGTAAGGATAATAGGTATATTTCAGGTCAATAGTATATGCAAAAGGTATATTAAAAAACACCTGACTCAGGGATGAGTGTTTGCTGAATCATTCCTTTTAATTTTTTTCTGTTTATTGTATTTTCTTCTACTGGCACAGGTTTTGTGATTAAGAGTTCTTGAACAGAGGTGGTACAGAAAAGCAAATTGAGGGGGTGGAGCTGATTTCTGTGTGTATCAGCAATGGACTGACTTCCTGAGGTCACCCTTGAGGAGGGTAGGAGGGGCTGTCACTAAAACAGCTCCCACTTATTATAGCTTCATTAAAAACTTACTTTATGCATCATACTAAACCAACCACAGAAGCAGCAGAAAAAGTTCTACTGAATGATTTGTTGCATCAAGTACACATAAGATTCATG